GATGCGCTCTAAATTCAAAATTTAAGAAACCTATTTTAAGAAACCTAATTTCTTTCCTTGTGAATACTATAAATATAGATTGAAAACAGAAGAAAATTTTGATAGTAAGGACACAAATCATAGAGGAAATAAAAAACAATAGTTAGAAAACTATACCACAAACGGTCAAAAGTCCCACACACTACAATACCTATGTATACGATCACAATAGCCCGTGATATATGAACGACAGCGCGCGTGCCTGGCAGCCTGGCACTCTGCCAGCCCACTGCATTACGTATGGCGTCATAAATCCATGGCTCTGACACCATAATATTGAAGGTTAGTTTGCCTCTATCAAACTGTTATTACTAACCTACGTACTTACCTAGGTATAGCTAACATTGGGCTTACGAATATGTTCCTAATATTCCTAAATTCCATAGGCTCACCCCCTATTACATGGGACTCATAATGTGAATAGTGAAAAGTGGGTGTTACGTACACGTGCATTAAGAGACGTAATGCCTACCCCTTCGGGGAAAGGCGTTATGTTATGTATGTATTCCTAGATTCCTAAAGTGCCTCTTGACTGCCTCGTTGGGCAAGTGGTCACAAGTGTGACTGTCAGGCTTCGGGTTCGATTGCCGGGTCGGTCGATTATAAAGTTTTTTTAAAAAAAATCTCTGTAATAGCACGGACTCTAGAATCGTGCCCGGTATATGACAATAGGCTCACCCTCTATTATATGGGACTCATAACATAAATAGTGAAAAGTGGATGTTATTATATTGTACAGTGGCATTAAAAGTAGTAATGTGCACCTCTGCCTATGTCTTCAAGGATAAAAGGCGTAATGATGTAGTGATGATTGTAAAAATATTATTCCTAATGTCTGTTTGAAGAATGGAAAGGTAGAGGATGACCAAAGGAAAGATGGATAAATTATTATTACATTTTAGGCGCTGGTACTGGACGCGACAGTCGCCGCGTCGTCGTGTGTCGCTGAATGCTGCTAATGAAATAAGGCTCTAACATCGCTTAAAACTAGTCGAGTTCCTCGTCAAATAGCCACGTGAGTAAATTGAAAGCATACCCCAAACGTCTCTCAGATAAACGAAGCATTACTTTAAGGTAGACGAAACAATTCTTCGTGTAAAGGTAGCTGTACTCGCATCCATTATACAAGCAAAAAAGCTAATCTAACCAACACCGCCTCAAAGAGCCATCAGACCACCACGGATGGGGCCCAACAGGGCTGAAGCCGATTCGGAGTCGCGGAGAACCTAACGGGTTACCGGGGCTCCGGCTCGACGTGCAGAAGAAGGAACAGGGTGGTTATTAGTCAGTAAGAGTCTGACAGTCCCTCCCGCATCACCCAGGCGGGAGCAGTCATTCGATGATTTTCCCTTCCCTTAAAAAAAAACCAACACTTCATTTCCAAACGTAACACAGTAAATGAGTCGCAGATCAAACCACAGTTATGTTAATCGAATAGCAGACAAACTAACAAGTAAATCCTTCTATATAGTTATGTCTGACGACAAAGCTCACAACACAGATTACATCGCCGATACTGCTGGCTGGATCTCTGCTCACACCGAAGTGTAGCAAATATGGACTTGTTCGATTCGTGAGTGAATGTAAACTGAGGTAATAGTTTTAAGTGGAACAATGAGGAAATGGTTTTTTTTTTATGGGACAAGCCGCTAAACGAGCAGACGAATCGCCTGATGGTAAGCAATCGGCATCGCCCATGGACAGCCAGAACACTATAGGCGTTACAAGTGCAATACCGGCCTTTTTGGGATTAGGAATTTTAGGATTGTTGGGGATTTAGGGGGGTAATTGGGCCTCCGGTAACCTCCCTCACACGGCAAAATACAACGCAAGCATTGTTCCACGTCGGTTTTCTGTGAGGCTGTGGTATCACTCCGGTCGAGCCGGCCCATTGGTGCCGAAGCATAGCTCTGCCACAATTAAATATATCGGTTTTAATAATAACCGAAAATTAAAATTGCAAAATCTTTCGATCGATCAATGTTGTTTTGTCAGATACTCAAAACTAATGTCAAAGTCTACATCATGAGGATTGATGTTGAGGGAAAAGACATATATTATATAAACCGGAATTTCCCTACAATGCACCAGTCTACTGATTTGCCGATCATGCAACATCAAATCAGTCATACTTAGGTTACGGTGCATTATGAAATGTAACGCTAGGTAACTAAAATTCAACAATACATAGGAAGCATACAATCGCAGGAACAAACACTTAGGTACGGTATTATTTTATAAAATTTATAGTTCAACATTTGGCCTCCATGCCACCCTGGCTGGGGGACAAACGGTAGGGTTTGTCCCGTTTAGTACTCAATAGCCTTAGCTTGCTGAACTACGAGTGGTCATAAAACAAAACAAACCTCCATGTCACTTAATGGTAAGCAATAATACAGTTAAAGATAGAACATTGAGGATTTATTCACATAAGACTTGAAAACACCCAGATTAAACCACTTCTGCCTACTCCTTCAACAAATATTTTGCGTAATATTAACCCCAAGCTATTACAACAAACACTATCCCCAGTTATATGAAGTGGGTGCTTTGGGGGCCATTTTCTTTTATATTTATATTGATCATAACATAAACATAAAGATAAAGATATGGAACCCATCAAATTCGCTACCTATCTCAACTTGCCGTAAATATTTGCTTTCCTTATTCATAAGAGAGGCATCTAAAGGTAACAGCAGTAATTTCTTTCGTGTGTAGATGTTGCAAAAATCTTACAAGGTCATAATATTATAATTTAAATTAAAAGTAGTCGGGGTGGGACAGAGGTTAAGATGGAGGTTTAACGCTCATCCATGAGGATGTGGATGGTTCGAAACCTACCAACGGCAAGTACCAATGTGACTTTTCCAGAGATATATTTACTTTCTAAGATTATTTTAGACACCACTGATAAACGGTGAAGGAAAACATCGTGAAGAAACCTAATTTCTAATTATTAGTTTGATATCGCCAACTTGCAATGAGCAAGCGTGGTGATTAAATACTCAGACCATCTCCGTGTGAGAAGAGGCTTTGCTAAGCAGTGGCCACTTATAGAGGTAGACTGTTGAAGATGAAAAATAAAGTCTCATTGAATATTTTTCGAAATAATAAGGATAAAGCAAGTAAATATCTTGATTTAGCTCATGAGATTGTCGACATGTGGGATGTGGTGTGGATTCAGCAGTCATTGTACCGATAGTCGTATCTGCCAATGGCCTCATTGCTAAAAGCCTCGACTAACACCTAAGTAGGCTAGCGTTAGATGGTCAAGGGCATGATGCAGAAAGCAGTACTTCTGGACACGGCACGTATTGTCCGGAGATTCCTCTCTGTGGAGCCCTGACCGGTAGCTTGGAATTCTCCTGTTACTGGTGGGCTACTGCTTTTCATATCTTTAAATGTTTTGTTTTTTATTATTTAAAAATGTATAAATCAAGATTCATCCAAATGTACCTATCTAAGTATTGCCGTAAGTAAATTACTGGACTAAACGGCAGGTTATCAAGGATTATTCTCATAGATAAGATTACCGAAACATATCGAGTCTGTCCATTATTATTTCTGTGTAATCTGTTCCACTTGTAATATCTACAATAATATCTACAGGTTGGCAAGGGTTCCAATAAATATGTCTATTGGGAAATCTCGATGTTTACTTGTTAGTAAATATGTGGTTTGTTGTTATAGATAAGAGATATTTAATGTTAGTTTCTGTTAGAAATGTTTAACATAATAACATAACAGCACGCCTTTTATATCCAAAGGCGTAAGCAGAGGTGCATATTACGGCACTTAATGCCATTGTACAATGTAACACCCACTTTTTACTATTTATGTTATGAGTCTCATGTAATAGAGGGTGAGCCTATTGCCATATACCGGCCACAATCCCAGAGCTTCGTGCTACCATTGTGATTTTTTTTAAATCCATTAATACTTTGCCTTTTCTTTTCAGTGTTACGTAGAAAAAATGTAAAAGTGCTGACAGACGATCGAACTCGGTTCGGGCTAGACCAGGAACATGGTGAGCTCCGAACCGTATTCAATCGTCTGGCGCACGATCCACCGAACATTTTCAATGGATGCGACCGGACCGGGGAACCAAATTCACGGTACGGTGATGGTTCAGTTCGTTCGTCTATAATTATGTGCTCTTAGTTTAGACTACTATATTAATTAACTCATTGAGTACCGTCATTATAGATAGACACAATTAAAGAACAATAGGTTGCGGTCACCGGTGACCGCTTGGTGTTTGACAGTTTAAGTAATTTTCACTTATCGATTTTCTTGTATAATTCATGTTTAACCAACTTCAAAAAAGGAGGAAGTTTCCAAGACGTCGCCTTTTTTCATGCATGTTCACTGATTAGTCGTCGACACCTGAATCGATCGTGATCATTATTTTTTTATATAAATTATTGTTGTCCAATGAAATCATTATTACGCTTTTTTTTTTTAAGGGCGGAAATACGTCGAATCATTATTACGCTACGGTGTGAGTGTGACCCTAGTTGGCAGCTGTTTGTCCGTACGCAGTTAAGTTCCGGGTTGTTGGCGAGGGTAGTCAGTTCAATCCGGGGACAGACATTTATGTGTTTTGTTAATATATGTAAACTAAAGTACTATGTTCGCTACATAATACATTATTATCATGAATTTTAATCACCGAATACAGGCAAAGGATCAACTCATTTTTATGACATAAGTCAGCAGACAAATCACCTGATGGTAAGCAATCCTCTGCACATGGACACCTGCAGCACTATAGACGTTACATGAGCGTTGCTGACCCTTAGGGGTTGAGGGAATTAGGAATTAGTGATGGGGGAAAGACGTCCTGTGAGGCCGTGGTACCACTCCGGTCGAGCCGAATTAGTAACGAAGCATGGCTTTACTACTCCCACATTTAGAATTCCAGCTGTTGTCTAATATTTAGTATTGAAAGCTGTACTCACGGGAAAGGCTGTGTTTGTCCATAGTACCGATGCTCAGTGTAGAAGAGTCCAGCGCTCATCTCCTGCGCCATGTTGTAGGCCAGCCCTGATTGTACGTAACCTGGACCGATCGCCCACTCTCCGCCCACGAAGATAACGATGTTGGGGTTCTCAACATTTGCGAACTGATTGTTGTAGTAGTACCTCTGGAAACAAGAATAATTTATTACCATCATGCTATTTGGAACTATACTCTTCCTACTGTTGTTATAAGAGCTGAGTACATATTTAATAGAGACTAAGCAGCATTCTCTTATAAAGCTAATCCTTTTAAATTCCGATCTCCAACACGTTTGCCAATACATAGAGATTATGGCAAACTACACTTTGGAACGAGCTCTTAGCTTCATTGACAGACTGACAGACTAGCTGACTGACAGATAATTCAATTTTGACGTTACGAAAGTGCCTAATTCAGGATTGATTAACACATGACGCTGGCAGAATAGTCAACTACTAAATAGTGGAGACTCAATTGCCATAGAAGAAAAAAAAAAGGATTGATTAAAATGTTTTTTTTTTAGTTCGCCTTTGAAACAAACTTCTTTACACAACGACAAATAAATTATTCTATTATTAACTTCGTTTAAAAAACAACTTCTACCTCTTCTTTTTTTTGAAGTCGGGTAATTAATTTACAGTTTTCTGAAGCCGTATCAAAATTGTAACAAACATACATTCAGGACAAACCGCGAACCTTTTGAAGTCGGTTAACAATATAACTCAAAAATGTAAAAGCTACCATTTGAAAGGTCCTAGTGTCGTACGCCATGAAGTGGTTGAGCCGGACGTTCACCCAGCCCATTGTCGGCGCCCTGGAGGAAAAAGGCACACCGTCGGGGAGAGGAGGCTCCCTGTGCAGCTGGAATTGTGCCAGACATGGCGATATCAGCAGGAGTAGCAACCCTGAAACATTAGGAGGTTCTGTGTTTCTCCTGATCCTGTGATTAATATGATGTTCTTTCATTGGGTCGATCAACGGTGTTATACCTATTCGTACGAAACGTTTTTCTACAATATAATTTGGTATAATTTTGTAGTTCTATTATAAAACAGTAGGAGTATCATTTGTTTATTCATAATTATGTTTCAGTAGAAAATGGTAAAGCGATAAATTATAGTTTTTTGCCAAGTTATGAAAACGAAAACTAAGTCTAACATAGCTGTATATCGTCTAGATTCGTTGGATTCTAGTTAAATCATTAAGCACTATAAAACCAGTTGGCAATTTATCTCAATTGTAATTAATTAATCTGTGACACTAAAATAAGCCTTCGCTTATCTAGGTACTTATACAAAATAATTAACCAATTAAAACATATTTTGAATAATCTTATCATCAATAATTCGGCACCGAGTGTCCTTATTTCTTTTGTCGAAGCGACCGCACACATTGTAAAAGAGAATTTGGCCATACATTAGACCAATGAATAGCTTCACAGAACAAAAATAACGATAATTTGTAAATATTCTTCAGATATCATTGTTAAGAAACACACTTGCGCACACTTCTTAAAATGGAAATATTTTCAAACGAACATCGTCACAAAGTAAGTACCTACGATTCCAATTTTTTTAGATATTCAACATGATAACAAAACAAGTAGGATTTACAAAAAAACTTACACATTGTCCTAAAACCTATATAATTATCACTAAACAACAAATTAAACTAAAGCTGTGTTGCCACTATAACGCACCGCCACGTTTTGACATTGTTCGCATTAATTCGGATATCTTTAAATCGATAAAGATTACAAATATTGATATGCAATCTTTTGTGATTTCGTGAGGAAATTGGTGTATGTGTCGAAACTATTTTTACATCAACAACGACATTTAAGTGTGGGATAGTCATGCTTAAATGGTGCTACCACGGCCTCACTGAAAACCGACGTGAAACAACGCTTGCGTTATATTTCGTCGTGAGTGAGGTTACTCCCCCCCTTTCCCCAATCTCTTCAATCCCTGAATCTGCACATCTCCAACAATCCTCAAATTCCTAATTCCCAAAAGGCTAGTAACGCACTTGTAACGCCTCTGGTACTTCAGGTGTCCATGGGCGACGCCGATTGCTTACGTGATCCGTTCAAAGTTACAGTCAAAAGTCAAAGCATTTTTTTATCAACATCCTATACAAGTGGCCACTGCTGACCAAAGGCCTATTTCTTACACGGAGAAGAGAAGGTTTGAGCAATAATCATCACGCTTGCTCAATGCGGGTTGGGGATTTCAAACGTACCTATAATTAGAGATTATAAGCCCAGGTTTCCTCACGATGTTTTCCTTCACCGTTTGTCAGGGACGATCGCTACATACATGAGAATGCATGAAGCGGGCGTCTTAAACCTCTGAGCCACCAAGACACCAGACATCATCATATTGTTTTCTATTTTTAACCATAGAAAGATGGAAATCGCTCCATGCACTAAGAGCCAAGACAAGGTTATCATAAAGCAGAATTTTCGGAAACAAGCGATTGAACAAAAAGTACAAAACAAACTATAATAATATTATCAACATGTACGAACACGAATATATCGGAAACTCTTACGATACGAGCGTGGGCGGCCATATTTTAGTTTTCTTATTACATGCGACCTAAACTATTTGTATTGTAATAAGAAAATGTCAAAAGTTATGATATTACGGTATTTGTATGTATCTGAATCTAATATTTACATTTATGTAGGCGATCTATGATATCTCAAATCGATTTCCATTAATATTGGGTTTTTTGTTTTCGAAATTCTTGATAGAACCTGGTTTGAAATTATTGTCCAGGTCTAAGATAAAATAGGTTCTAACTATCATGTTTTTTAGCAGAGAGACGAATTACCATTTTCGTCTACCACCTCTAAACTATCATTTAACAGTAACTAGGAATTACTTAACGTGACGGAGCACTTACCTTAGGTGTCACTTAAAGATTGGTGAAAATTAAAACCAAAATATCGTTCAGTGTCACCATTTGCTACACCACGATACACGTGGACTTAAAAATACTTAAAAAGATTAAGTTTACGGCGCGTCACAGCGCAAAAGGTTGCCGCTGTGGCTCAAGTTCAAGTACACGGAGCTGATTTTCAGCACCAGCCTATTTATATGTGTTCTTTTATATTTACGAGTGGTTGGTTCAAACGAGCCCAAGTTTCCTATGATAAACATATATTCTTCTTTGAGCTCTTCTCTAAACTGTTTCTATCAAACTGTTCCCAGACTTAATCCTGACTGAACAACCTCGTAAGTAACCTGACCCTAAGTACAACTGTGTCCAGAAGAACATGTTCTTTGAACTTTACGCTGACTCAGAGATGCATACAAGCAGAATAATCAATACATAGTATAAAACAAAGTCGCTTTCGCTGTATGTCCGTATGTATGCTTAGATCTTTAAAACTACGCAACGGATTTTGATGCGGTTTTTTTTAATAGATAGAGTGATTCTTAAGGAAGGTTTGTATGTATAATACATGCATATTGCACCCGTGCGAAGCGGGGGCGGGTCGCTAGTAAAGAATATAAGACATTATGTGGCACTAAAAGAACTTGTACAATGATATTTTTAAGTTATCTGCCAAGTAATCTTAGTACATAGGTAGATGGCCATTTTGTTCCAAGATTACATGAGCCATTAAATCTAATTTATTGCTCTGAAGGCGATAGGGGACTTAATAAGGAACTGAAATTGGGTTTATTCGGGTCTTTAGTCTTTGTATTTAGTGCTGGATCAGCGTGTTTAGAGGTAACAGTGGTAGCCAAAAAGGAATGTTATTTAATTGTTTTTGCCCAAAACTTCGTAGGCACTGTTAGTTTTTAGTAAAATGACAAATCAGTGGACGTTGACCTTGAATCACAGTGACAATCTCGATTACTCAATAATTTATTCGTCCTTAGATAACCCAAACGTCAGACCATCTCTTTAGTTGATATCGATTGGTTGGTTAGTTGACTTGATACTAATAAAAGAAAGTTAGGTCAGTTGTGTGTTTGTGGGTGGAATCGTGAATGTTTTAACGCTTCCGCTCGGTTTACCTGGCTGGCTGGCCTAACTCGTCTAATCGACTTCATTATTAGAGTCGTAAATAGGCAAGTTGTCCTTTGGTGTGGCGGATCAAGGAAATGGCTCGATTCCCTCAAAAGACTCTGCAACGCAGTAGTAACTAAAATTCACGGGTTACACATGCGAGAAATACGCGCAGGCTACGCGATATCGCTGCGATCGCGTACGCTGCTCATGAGGAAGAGCCCCTATTTAGCTCGAAACTAGTAGAGCTTTTCTCAGTATATTCACGTGAGTAACCCGCGAATATTAGTTAATTTAGTATGTCTCACGATAGTTATTATAAAAATATAGTAAATCCTCTGCCGGTAAGCTTACCATCACCTGGTCCAAATGCTCGACAAGAATATGTTGCTGATAACTTGCTGTGCAGGCCACCTCCCAGATACAAACGATGAGTGTACCTTCACATGCGGGTGAGCACACGGATCAAAGTCCACAACACAGACAGAGATAAGATATCAGCATCTGATAGTCTTCGAGGAAGACAGGAAATTGCTTGTTATCTTCCAATTTCCATCTAGATTATAAGTTTGGACTTTGATACTTAGGTATTACTCACTATGATATATTAGATTTTTAATATTTTTCCTCAATGGAAGGCTGAGGAGTATGGTAATTATAAGGAAATAAACTGTTCTCAGTTTAACCTGTATGTATGTATATTTGTGCGTGATTATCTCGCGATTGGCTGTACCAATTCTGATACAGTTTTCAGAAAACCCTTAGGATAATGATTTAGTATAAGTATTAATTAACCGACTTCAAAAATGAGGGTAATGAAGTCGAGTTTTTAACGTAGTTTATAGAAGAAAGAACATAACAGTTTATTTGTATCGTTACAGAAATTATACAAAAAAACAGGAAAAATCAGAATAAATGTCAGGCGATTATGGTGGGAAGTTCTCGTACCTTGTGTAAGGTTGACAGTGCAACTATGCCGCCTGTACTGTTCAACGGTGCGATCATACCTTTCAGCGGCGACGTGAAGAATCTTGGCTTGTATGTTGACAGTAACTTAAACTGGCGTGCTCATGTCACTAGCATATGCCAACGGGTCACCGGGACGCTGCGGGCTCTGTATCGTTTGAGAAACTTTCTCCCGTCCTCTGCTAAGATAATGCTTGTCCAGTCCTTGGTTTTCCCCATTATTGATTATGCTGATGTGTGTTTTTTCGACCTGAATGCAGATCTACTTAACAAACTTGACCGCCTTTTGAATACCTGCATTCGATTCGTCTTCAACCTGCGTAAGTACGACCATGTCTCTGCATTTCGATTGCAACTAAAGTGGTTGCCCATACGTCAGCGCAGGGAACAACGGGCGCTAACCACTTTATTCTCCCTTCTTAATTCTCCCAATTCTCCTACTTATCTTTCCTCATATTTCCAGTATGTGAGCGCTAACCATAGCAAATACCTCCGTTCTTCTAATAATCTTCTGTTACAATGTCCCACACATCGAACTGACTTCCTTCACTCTTCTTTTTTCGTCCAATCCATCTTGCTGTGGAATGCGATGCCGACGGATATCAGGACGGCGACCAGTCGTCTGTCCTTCAAATTTAAGGTTCGTGAGTATCTACAGAAGAGGCTAGCAGACTCAACACACACTTAGGTCTTGTACGTATTTACATATATGTATGTGTATAATTATGTATGTATATATGTTATGTTATGTATTTTCCTTCGTATATTTAGGTATATATATGTCCCATACTTATTTGTCTACTGTTCGTTTTGCATTACGTATATATTTTAATACTTCTTCATTATATTTAATTAGTATATATTGTGTGATATGTATAATTATATATGATGTTAATGTTAATGTTAATTATTGTGTCACTCTAATAAGTGTTAAACGTTTACACCTACTATTGTATCTCTCTGCACCACCCTAAGGTTGACTGTTAGAGAATGCCACTAGGCATTAAGTCCGCCGTTGTATATCTACAAAAAGTGTAAATAAATAAAAAAAAAAAAAAAAAACAATAGTACCTACGAGGTGCAAAAAGGCCAGTGCTCAGCTACAATGCCGTGAACCGAAGGCGATTCCTCGAGTCGCGGCGTTGATTTTCAGCACTAGCCCGTTGCTAAAATATAATAAAATAAATAGAAATACACAATAAATGATCCTAAAAATCTGTAAAACATTGTTTTTATTCATTACTACCTACTTCCGCGCGGTTACACACGCTCTGCTCAGCTCCTATTGGTCGTAGTGAGGTGTTTTATAGCCTATAGCCATCCTCGATAAATACACTATCCAACACAAAAAAAATATTTAATCAGACTTGTAGTTACGGAAATTAGCGCGTTCAAACAAACAAACAAGAAAACAAACTCTTCAGCTTTATAGTTAATATTAAGTATAGATAAGATAAGATCACACCATAAAGAAGGCGACGTTGAATGAAACGGCTTTTGACACTCGACAGTTTGACATTGAATTGACATCTGCTTGTCTTCTTCATAGTAAAATAATTTTATGGCTTTATTTCACCAGTTATATATATTGTGAGTCCCATGTAGTAGGAAGAGGGCCTTATTCTATCATCATCAATGTCAGATCTGTGCCATGGTTGGGCAGAGACAACTACACATACGAAGAAGAAATGAGTAAAATTATGTCCAATAACAATTTGACT